GTTCAAAAGTATACAAAGTTACTCTATGGTTAAGCATACAATACACACAAGCACAATGTATGCGGCCCGTTGCCCAAGTCCGCAACAGTTAATAACGTATTCAGTAATCTATCTAACGGAATGTATTCTAAAACCATGTAGGTTGTCGCATTTACACAAAAAAAAGAATCGTGTAATTTGGACGTGTAGTTTACGAGTTAAGCATACAATACACAGAAAGAGACTTTCATTTCATATGTAAGGAATATAACATTTTCATAAAATAAATAACGTGACAAGCTCGGTGAATAGTGCAACATCCACTAAGTTTATTCACCTTTGTAAAAATATATAACTCATTAGTAACAAAATTTACGATAATGTATGTAATTATGTATATTATATATATTTCTGCACGTTTTTTCCAAAAAAAATTCAATTTAATTTTTCTTTTTGAAATTAAATTATATACTTTGCAAAAAAATTGCAAGCATAGGATGTATTGCATCTTTATTCAAAATTTATATTGGATGCGTAAAGCTAATGTTAGCAATGAAGAAACACAGACCACAATAACCCCTGCATTATCGACAATAAGTTGTTGGTCGATCTACGATCAATTGCAGAGACTAAACGCGCGTTGTCAAATGCCGTAAGCCGTTCGGTAATGTTGAATTATTGACCTGGCTGGATGACGGAACTGGACCAGCTGTAAGCACCAGGTGGTCCGCTGTACTGATATGATAATGACTATGACACGTTGCTACATAATGGCACACAATAGGTCGCAATGATCACGACGCTAGGAACGTAAAACGAAATATATAGCTACACGAAACTATCAGTTTATGGAGATTAATGATAATAATTCACCTCTTGTTTTTCTTGTTATAAGTATAGAATAATATTATTCAAGTTTTGTAAGTTACTGTTATTTTTGTTTTGTAAATTAGGTTGTATTATATGAGTTAAGTTAAATTTTTAATATTTATTTATTTATTTATTTACTTCACCAACAAGATGCACATCAAAACATGCTTAGAAAATAAATAAGTACATAGCAAAAGTAAGTAAAAGTAAAGTAACAGCCTATACATGTCCCACTGCTGGGCAAAGGCCTCCCTATACAGAGGGTATCAGGGCATAGTCCACCACGCGGCCCCACTGCGGATTGGCGGACTTCACTTATCTTCGAAAAATATTTTTTTTATTGTTATTATTTTCGAAAATATGCCAGGTTTTCTCACGATGTTTTCCTTCACCGCGGAGCACGTGATAAGTCAGCACTTAAAGTTAAAAACTTCATTGGTGCCGGCACCTGGGATCGAACTCAGGTTGCTCGAGTATATTGAATTAAAGGCGAGCGCCCAGACACTGAGCTATCACGGCTAAGTACATAGTATCTTAAACTAAATCGTATCTCAATTACAGGTGAAACGACATTCAAAAGTTTTTATATTGACAACAGCCAAAAATATGGCAATCTATAAGATATACACATACGCATATTCAATAATAGTACTTCACAAATGGATTAATCTCGATCTAAATATATTCAGGTATTCATAAAAAATTATTGTATTTAACTTACCCAGGGATAATTTGTGTCCTCATTAATGAAAAAAGTATTCAGACTCGGTAGTATAGTATCGGATATTACCCAATTTATTTCCTCCTCGTAGTTTCAGTGGACGGTAGCACGAGCAACTAATTGGGGACGGTCGAACTTCCGTCATAAGGAAAACGCTACTGCGAAAGCATTCGCAACTGATTCAAATAAAATGAACCGCGGGCGAACCATTCCCCTATCGGACATCCGTGAACCAGTCCTAATTATTAGTGGAGGAATGTTCGATCTTTATTGTTCGCTGTTAGGCCGGGCTTACATTAGATCGGGGCTAATTAAATGAGGGTGTAAGAGCTCCGGCTTTCATTAAAATGGCGATTTTCGTGTGTGTGCATCAGATAGTGCACGAACGCTAACGTAAACGACACTTCCTAGTCTGTACAGACAGCAAGGAAAGCGCTTAACTATTTTAATTCCTTATTACGATTGAATGACTGTCGTGATTTTTAACATTCGCAATTATCTTTTTTATTCATATGTTTGTTAAGTTTGCAACTTACTTTAATAATGTCGGTTATTATTTTTATTTGACTAATGACCACAACACTCCTATTTGCGTAAGTTTTAACATCAAGGAAGGTATGTGAACGTAGTACGTTACGGGACATATAATTTATAGGCTGTTAATTCACTTATATGCATCAAAAACAGGATGATGTGAAATCAAGAATCCATCGGTACTACAGTCGACTTATTTTACTACGTCCATAAAAAAAAAAACTTCCTCTTCCTAATCGATTGAACTAAACAAAATTGTAATCGCTATTCGCTGTTAAAATTTGTAAGAGGAACGTTGTTGTTTTAATTAATAAAAAAAATAATTAATACCAAACGGCCAGCTCCTAATGGCGAGTGGTCAATATATCACCATTAGCATAAACAGAGCCCGGATGATATACTGGGCGCGGGCGACGAGGCTTCCGTGTCATTAAGCCGGGGCTGATACTGTCTCCAGTGGGCAGCGCGCCGATCACATCGGCCGGCACACGCCTCGGACCGTTTCTATTTATCTCCAGCCTCGACATTAATTGAGAGTACGTTAAAAGTAAAGTAAAGTATTAGCCTCTACTCGTCCCACTGGGTAAAGGCCTCCTCTGTACAGAGGGTATTAGGACATAATCCACCACGCAGCCCCACTGCGGACCGACGGACATCACTTTTTTATGTGAGAAGGTATTTATTATACATGTCACATATCTTTGAAATATTTTTTTTGTTATTCTTTAAAAAACATGCAGGTTTTCTCACGATGTTTTTTACGTTCTGCACGTGATAATTCAGCACTTAAAATTAACAATTTCATTGGTGCTAGCATCGGGATTTGAACTCGTGTGGCTCGAGTATAATAAATTGAAAGCGAGCGCCCGGTCACTGAGCTATCACGGCTATAGAATGCATCGACCTTCATATTTTCAGAATTGTTGTCCGTATTTATCATTTCGACTGCCAAGATGGTTCAGTAAAAAGGTAGTCTTCGCAATCCCTATTCATGAGCGTCAACTTACACTTATTGTATAAGCTAACGCCTATCTTTCTGTATAATAAATACTCTATGTTCAGCAGTGGACTTAAGCGGGCTGAAATGATGGTGATGATACTAACGATGATGAATATGTTGGTGATGATGTTGTGCTTAAACTGGAGAACTAATTTTCTGTTTTATAGGATATCTTTTGTCATTGAATACCTTGTTAACAAGCACAATTGTTTACAACAGGCTAATAAATAAAGCCTTCAGAGCGGAGCCACGTTCACAACTAATCCACATGCCACAATCAAATTGGTTAGCGGCGCATTCGCGCGTTGGTTTCTTATTTATGGCGCCACAACATCAACCATCAAACGGCTTCACAAGAAACTTTCACTATCACGCGAGCGCCGAATATTAATCCGGACTAAGTTGTAATTAAAGAAAATAGACATAAAGAAACAGGTGAAACTGCAGAACTTCGGTAATGGCCGACCGAGTGACCTTGCATCGGTTACACTCCGCCGCGCTCGCGTCTTTTGTTAACATCGACTTATTAAATTCCTCGCAGGTTTGAACATTAAAAATCTGCAAGTTTGTATGAAACAGAGCGTTATGCAATTAACGCGCGAAGATGGACGTCGAATATGTTACATGCCTAAGGTGTACCTTTGAATTGCAGAACTGTATGATAATGGATAGAAATATGGGAGTAAAGGCGTCGTGCTTTCGCAAAATCTACATAAACGGACGTCTGGGCTCGAGAATAATCATCTGTGCTTCATTAACATTTTCACGGCCCTTATGGCCGATTAAGTGCCTGGTACCGAAAACGAATATTACCAATAAACGACAATTACCGTATGAGATAAAAATATTTTCCTCGTTCAAGGATCCATGATTCGCAACACCTTATACGTAAGAAGCTGTACAAGAAAAGAGCCGTTCAATTTTAAATACTAATTTCTTATTTTTGGAAAATCAGATAATAAATAACTAATAACAGATGTAAGATACTAATAACAGTATTAAAATATCATTTATTTATCTATCTTTGACATATAAACAGATGTGTCTTGCACGGAAGTGAGCGATGGCTCTAAGTTTGTTTTAAACTTTAATTCTTAATAAATATATTTCTTACATATTTTTTCCTAAGAGACTACGAATAAATGGTGTCAACAATAATGTTATTGTAAAAAAGGATTGAGATGCATTGAGAGATGAGACCAAATTCTAATAAAATATGGTAAGCTTAGGTTCAAGTATGACCCCATGAAAATGTACTTAATATTATAACCTTTTAATATTAACTTAACTTATCACTTCTGTAGTGTAAATTATTTGAAACATTGTGTACGGTTACTTACTGTTCGGTTACACTAACTGTATACATATTTCTAAGGCAAGTTTGATTTCGTCAGAGGTAAGTGCTCATTATTAGCCGACAGTTAGTGCGAAGGACAGCCACGTGCCTTTAATGTGGGTCTATATCGAGTGGAACGCGTTCAGTAATATCTTATCCAAGTCACGTTTTATGAATGAAATTATGAATTATATTCGTTCCTTTATTCCGAAAGTTGTACTTCATTTTTAATAAACATTTATTAAATTATCAGTGTCAGTATTAAATTCGGTGATATACAATATTTTTAATGGATTTTGTACTCTGATTGACTTTAAGCTCATCTGTGGTATGGAAAGACCTATATTGATTATCACAGAAATCGCGAAATCATACGAAATTTGAGCTTCGCATATTTAGTAGTAAAAAAAACGAAAGAATGAACGATAGAACAATAGATTATTAATGTCAATAGACGTCAGGTTAATATTTCAACCCGATGGCGAAGAATAGAAATCACATAAGATCTTGCGGATAATGGGCCATAAAACTTGTCATTTTTAAATCAGAGCGACACTTACCTCATGCCATCAAATCCGTCATCAGATCCGTTTATTGTGAGTACCGGTGCACGTGCATAAGCTTTCGCCACGCGTCTATTCTTCTCGAAAACTATCACCTTAGCCCAGATTTCGTCGTCGATTTGTGTCCATTTGTCCAATACTTCTTGTATGTGTTCCTGTGAAAGAGGGTAGAATGTTATGAATAAAAATGATATATATCAATCGTACCTAAACGAATTTAACTATAGACGTTCCATAATGGGACTTTTGTACCATAAGACTTCGATAAAACTATCTTTCAACAAAATTATTACGAGAACAAAAAAGTTATTTCCGTTCAAATGTAATTCATCCTAAAAATGCATTTGTTCAGTTATTCAGTTGTCAAGATTTGTTATTATATTTTCTTTCAATTTTGATTTTTACTTATTACTATAGGTTGTCCACTTAAAGTATTTTTATATCGAACTTGGACCCTCAGTCCGTGCTAACAACGACCTCAAACGATGGCGCTTGTAATGAACGCAGTTGTGGCAGAATGAAGTATTTTCTACATAATTAATTTGGCAACACTAAAATTGACCTTGTGTTTAGGTGTCTCTTTTGTAAGCTGAGATTGCTAATGTCTTAGATATTAATCCAGATTTGGCAACTTTGCCGTAATCTGATGACATCGGGCCCGACGCGAGCGCAATTTCGCTTTATGCTCTAGTAATTCACTTCTTGCAGCGTATGCATTAGTTTTTGTCGGCATAGAAAAACATTTTAACGTCTCATTAACATTAGCCAAAACTGTGTTCATAGACCAAAATACTTTTTCACGAATTTAATAACTTTTTATTTTAGGTAACATACTAGACTTTTTTTTTTATTACTATCGTAGTTTTCTATGTGTCAATTCAATTCACTTCCTAAATTTTTGTTTTAAATTAGCCAATCAGATTAATAATGAATATTCTTCAAACTACGAGTAGAAGGATACTATTTTAATGTATAATTATGTTATACTCATTCCATATGGATAATATTATTATAATAGTCTATAAAAGAATAATATTTTTGTAAAAATTTTATCCGTCTTGTCTGAAGCGGCCTTTAATAAGTCAAATGATGTCCAACATTAAAATAATACTATTTACGGTACGGTAGTAATTTTCGCGGTCATCGCCCTATGTAATGTTTGCCAAACTATGTTTTTACTTGCGCGTTGTAATGTAACAATTTTCCCGCGAAAATACCGTTGTTTTGAAAAAAACTTTATGAGTAGTTACGGAGTGTACTCGTTCGTTCTGTTATCTAGGGTTGTCTACTGGTTGAGATTTAATAATTTTAATTTAATTTAATTTTACTTCCACAATCGACCAAATTTATTGGTCATTGATAGTTTTAGAAAGTCTTTTCATAATAGTTTATTTGTGCTAACGTAAGTTGAACTTTTAATTAGATTTACACCCCGAATATTTTGTAGGACCCGTACATTAAACATAACATCATCAACATAAGTAACATATATACAGGACCTTTTCATCTGTGTCAGATGTTAACTAACTTATATATGTATTATCAAAATAAAAACGTGAAAATTTTTTCGTAACCCTGTACAAAACAATACAATGTCGAGTTAACGATTTCGATGCCGCTATTAAAGTCGAATCATAACAACATCGGAACGGTTAAGTTTTTTCTCTATATTTCCGCCTCTATGGTAATAATTGCAAATCTCACTCTCAACGGCGTTCCGTTGTCTGACTTTTTGATTGAAAGGAAAAGTCATCACGTCTGTCTTAAGCGTCTGTATCATATGATTTTCAGAAGAATTTATTTCTAGGCAAAAAATCACCGTTAAGCTGGCGTGTACTTTTGACTGCCCATAAAGTAAATTGTTATTGCCGGAGATTCCAGCTGGACTAGAGAGTGTCTATGGAAAGATAATAATACCGAGTAGCTACTTGCATATTTAACATATATGTACAATATTATATTTGTAACCTAAAATAAAAGGAAAAGGATTTTACATTTAGTCTTGAAGTCCGGCAGTCAGGTGTAATTTCGTCTTTGTCACTTATTATTTTAAATAACATTAGAGTTACTTTAGGTTAATACAATTACACTCAATAATGAAATAATGCTTGTGTTCAAAAATTAACGGCAAGAGACCAGTTTATTTTTTTATGTAACACTTACATAATCCTCATTATTTTACAAAAATATTAGTGCTACAAAAAGCTAGGCATTAATCAATTAAAAAAACTTAAGTATGGTAATAAAATGTGTGTATATCTTTAACCGAGTCTAATATTGTAGGGGAGATACGGATAAGACGGGGACACGGGGTAAGACGGGGCCCCCCACACATAGACGAAACTATACACTACACTAACGCATCGTAATGGCCAACGGGACGCCTCTCCCGAGCGACTATTAGTCCGACGTCGGCAGCGAGTGAGAGTGCATGCGTTTAGTCGGTGCAGGTCAAAACTTGTTTACCGATATCATCGATCTATGATTTAAGTTCTGAATAATTTGTTATTAAGCAGTAAGTATTAGTGCCTGATTATCGTAGATTTTGTAACGCATTCGTGAATGTATTAATTATCGTGGGGCGTAAGTCTAAACGCTTGGAATTTCGTGTGTTTTTTTTTACTAATATTTTTGCTGAATTATGGAGGTGAAGGCAAAACGGGGCAAACTTTGCGAGGCATGATGGGGCATTACCCCATCTTGCCTCTTTCAACAGGCTTATGGTATTGTGCTTGTCGTGACATTGCTACCATTTTGTTTTTCAGGTAACAGGGGTATGGTACAATGGTACGAAATTATAAAAAAAAGACAAAAAGAGGAGAGTGGTCTAAAGAAGCTATGAAAAAAAGCAGTAGAAGACGTATTGGCAAAAAAATCAGGATTTCGAAAAGCAGCTTCTACTTATGGTGTTCCGCAAACCACGTTAGAGCGCTATGTCAATAAAGTGAAACAAGGTAAGGAAGTAACGTTCAGCGAGCCATTAGGGCCTATAAAAAAGTATTTAGCGTTGAAGAAGAGGCAGAAATAGCGGGATATTTAAAACATATGGAAGAACGGCTATACGGTTTAACTACTCTTGATCTGAGACGGATGGTATATGAGTTGGCTGTTAGAAACAATAAGAAACATAACTTTAACAAAGAAAAAAAAATGGCTGGTAACGCCTGGCTCAGAGGTTTCTTAGATCGTCATCCGAATTTATCTATTCGTAAGCCAGAAGCTACGTCTGCAGCTCGTGCAATGGGATTCAATAAAATTGCTGTTGGAAAGTTTTACCAGTTACTCGGCGACATCTACGACCAACATAAATTAACACCGGACAAGATATTTAACTGCGATGAAACTGGTATATCTGTTGTTTCGAAAACTAAAAGCAAAATAATAGCTGTCAAGGGAAGAAAATAAGTTGGGTCGTTGTCATCAGCAGAACGAGGTCAGACTGTCACAGTGGAAATTTGCTTTAACGCAGCTGGAAACTATATGCCACCACTCATGATATTTCCACGACAGCGCATGAAAGCTGAACTATTAGATCATGCTCCACCAGGGACAACAGCTGCCTGCAATCCACGAGGATGGATAACCACGGAAATATTTACGATCTGGTTCAAGCAATTTATACAATTTTCAGGAGCTTCTCTTGACAATAAAGTGCTGCTACTTCTTGACGGTCATGTAAGTCATACTCAAAATTTAGAAGTTATAGACATAGCTCGTCAAAACGGAGTAATTAATTATACTTTGCTTTCCTCCACACTGTACCCACAGGTTGCAACCTGCAGATGTTACATTTATGAGGCCTTTAAGCATTTATTACGACCATGCTGCTACCAACTGGTTACGTTCGCACCCAGGCCGAGTGCTGACCATGTTTCAAATAAGTGAAATATTTGGGCAAGCATATCTTCAGGCAGCTACTATGAACACGGCATTGAATGGTTTCAGGAAATGTGGTATATGGCCATACAATCAAGACAATTTTATTGATGTAGATTTTTTGCCTGCTGAAACAACCAACCGTCTAGTTAATGAAGACATTCCGGCTACATCTGCTCCCATCAATTTACCATTTTCGGACATTTCCACCGAGCGACATGCTGTTATCGAGGACAGTCTATCCACAGCTAATGATACTCCTGCAGAACAAGCACAGACTAATGAAAGGAATGCTCAACTTGACAGCAATTCTCAATCTATTCGTTTGCAAACATGTACTGAGACCAGTCTAATATCTTCACAAGATTACTGCACGCCTACACAGCCCGCAACTCCTAATTATTATATTTCACCTCAAACCCAGTCAATAACCCCACTTGTTGATGAACCTAAAACTGCATCACAGCCTGGACCTTCATCTTTACATGCAGCACAAACTAGATTTCCTGTTCGAGCAGTTTGCCGTGATCTCACGTCTAGTTTTAATAATGCCTCTCCTAGTGATATCATAGCCATACCAGTAATTCAGTCTAATGAAAGAAGAAAACAATACCGAAGGGGTAAAACCGCCATCATTACTTCCACTCCGTATAAAAAAGAAGTAGAAGAAAGAAAAAGACCTGTGAAACTAGCTGTTGATAATACCACACCTAAGAAGGCCAAAGGTAAAGGTAAAGGCAAAGGAAACAAGAGCGCAACAAGAAAAGAATCACAAGAAGATACAATTTGTTTATATTGTAATGATGAAAACAATTCTTATCTAAAATCGTCGGAAAACTGGGTAGGGTGTCAGCGGTGTGGACGATGGGCCCACACAGCTTGTGCTGGAGTCGACGACGAAGATATGGAGGATGTTTTGATATGTATTTTGTGTGAAGAAAATTAGTCCCCACCTTACCCTCTGTACCTATCTTGCCCCATATTTAGTATCCCGTCTTACCTCATATGTGAGGTAAGATGGTGTATTTTCCATTTTTGATAATTATAATTTTCTAATTTTTGTATGATTAGTTACCAAGTCCAAAGCTATGCCAAATAAAACGATAATAAGTAATTAATGTTTGATTAATAAATAACACTGATATTATTTTAAATACCCGGTTTTTTTACTACTTTACCTTAGCGTCCCCGTCTTACCCGCATTTCCCCTACATGTTCGGATCAATAATTAATGTAGTACTTAAACTGTTTATACTCTTTGCTCAACAGTGGGACATGT